TAGATTCATATGTTTTCCAATACAAGTTAACATAATATTATAATAAGAAACACTAAGGCCCGTATTCAGAAACGATACTTAATCTCGATCTCGACTTAAACTTACGAAAGGTCACCTCAAGTAAAGCCGGTAAGTAAATCACAATGTGCAAAGTGGTATTCATCTTGTTTACTCAACCTTACCTCTCGTGAGGGAGACTTCAAAAGTTGACCGATCGGTTTTATTGCATAACACCACTCTATATGCATTGCAAAAGTGTAACCATGTCGTTTAAAGGAGTATTTCGCCAAAGTGTAAAAATTCTTATAAAGAATTTATTATTAAAAATCTTAATGTAAAAAGAAAACAAAATAAATCAAAGCACAGAAGGCGCTGAATTTGTTTGGGTCTCAGAATGTCAGAAAGGTGAAGGTTGTGAGATTATAAACCAATTTGTTTTGTATAGTGCCACCAATGCTTTCCAGTGTTTTAACTGTAGTAAATTGGCTATAAGACTAATTGCAACACTGATATTCAATTCAATGTTTATTTGACTTACACAATTAAAAAAAAAATGAGTTGCCTTACTGGAATTTGAACTCCAGACCTCTCGATTCCCAAGCGAGCGTACAAACCCCTCGGCCACGGTGAAGTTATATGTAAACGGCCTGAAGAAAACGATATTATTCTAAATTAGGGTTTGTTACTCTTATTATTTCGACGCTAAATCACAGATGTAAATAATCATGGAGCTTACTATAAGCATGTATATCTATAAAGAATAAAACAATAAATCTTCGACCATTCGGGAACTATTTTGCTTGAAAATTAATGCGCCTGTCATTTGACAATCTTTACGCAGTTATCTCCCCTGAAATTTTCGGCGTTAGTGTACATATAAAGGGAAGTAACCGCTTCAAAAAAGCGGACTACTTTCGGCATTTGCAATTAACAGCATCAGAGTCTGAAATTCCGCTACCATTATTTGTTTAGTCTGACGACCCAAACAAATAAAAACGAGTTTAAATATGTGTTAGATAAAACAAAAGCATGAGGAGAAATTTAAAGAGAATTTAATAGTTTTCAAGTATAAATGCAAGAATAGCAAAATAATGTTGGAAAACCTGAAAGACAGGGCGAAAGAAAAGAAGCTTAATAAAGTAGTGAAAGACACTTAGAAATGACTTTTTTTATTTCAATAGCGTAAACTATATTTTGAAAGTAGCATCCAAGTCTTTGATGTCAATGATTTTTTTTGCAATACACAATTATGTCCTTTTTTTCTAATAATCTTATGACATTTTTAAAGACCCATTATGCCTCAGAAATTCTTCTCAAAATTTCAATTTTTGCAAAGGGTATAATCATATTGCATTATCATTTTGTATGGAAGTCGAAATACTACATTGTTTTTTCTATTACTGCACGTTAGGTGCACTTTGAGTAGTTTTTAATTATTTTTCTAAAGAATTAGAATAGGAAGAAGCATAACATGCCTTAAACAAGACTCTTTTATTCAAAACTTTCTCGTTCGTATTTGCAAATATAGAATCTTAATCTTTTTAATTTCTTTAATCAAATGCAATGATTCTGTACATCCCCCCCCCCCCCAAAAAAAAAACCACAAAAAAACAACACAAAACAAAAACAACAGTAACAAAAACAAACAAGCAAACAAAACAACCATGTTTGATTGTGATGCTGGAAAACCTAACGACTGTAGCGGTTGAACATTTTACAGAAGTACTGGATCTAAGTAATGAAACACCATACAAGTGTACTTTACATAAATCATGCTTAACAAATGTTCAAGATATTATTTTGCTACATGAATTTTAATAGTTTTTTTAATTAACATACGCAGACGTTATCAACGTTAACTTTATGCCATGGTTATTCATGAAGCCATAAAGATATTTTTCTGTCATGTTTCCTTTGAAATATCTTTTTATATAGATTGGAAATTCTATGTCAATCCCAAAATTCTTATATCTAACTGTTATTTTTAATATTTCATAAACAAAACAATAAATACTTAAAAACTAAATGGCATTTGTTTAAAACATAAATCATCGACGGTCACATTGACATACAGTCATTTTCATGGATAAAAAGAAAATTCAAGAAATTTCCAACTTGAAATCGTATAAATTCATTTCTTTTTGGCATAAGTACTGGTATCCCCTAGCTGAATACACTCAATAGTTCATACTACTTCCGGGTTAAAAATGTGCACATTCCTTTGAAATTCAAAATTTCTGATAAAATTCAACTTCTGACATATATTTAATGGGATCATCTCTGTCCCTAAGTATCTGTTTTTCAACATTTATTTCCTCAAGTACTGTCAGTTCGCGTATATGATGCACTAAAATGTATATGGCCCGAAATTAATTCAAAATCAATACTCAAAACAAAGTAGTATTCAGTATTATTTTATTGAGGACACCTCAATAAATTCTCAACTTTCCTGAGTTCACTCGACACTTACTTTATAACCTGAAAACCACTTAACTGAAAGGTGAGAACTGTCTTGACCGTTAGGCAATTATATGGGATTTACTCAATAAGTGTGAGTTGAAGTATCGATTCTGAATACGGGCCTAAGAGCAGCCCAAGGGTTATAATTTGACAATTAAATTATGCTTTTACAAGTTTTTGACATTAAAGTTTCTAAGTAAAATATCTTTTGAATACAAGTTACTTCCTTATATTAGAGAATAAAAATAATTAACTAAATAATCCATTCACCAGGCAAATTGCTACAGTCAAATATTTGTTTTGGTTGAGTTTCACATCACGCCAACACAATAAAGGACATATGGAGACTTTCCAGCTTTACTGGTGCATTATTTCAGGCATAAAATATACAGACACTTCTTCTCTTGATTATTTTCTATTATTTTTATATTCAATTTGCCGATAAAGGGCGTTAAACCTGTGTAATAATTCTGTACCACATCAGAAAAAAATCACAATTTCCGGCGTAACCGCGAAGCACAATTCAGAATTCAAGAATGGGACATTTTATATTTAACAGAAAATAGGGGGGGGGGGGGCTGGATAAAAGCCATATACGAAAACCTATTACCAGGAAAACGGTTGATTGTAAAATATCTGGCCTGATAGTGTAGTGGTTATGGTGGTTGATTTGCATGCGGAAGGTCATAAGTTCAAATCCCATAAGGGGGTAATACTTTTATTAGGCCTTTTGTATTTTATTATTTATTTTTACTTTCTATTTACGTGTTTTTAAAACAAGAATATCTATATATATATATATATATTGTCCATGTTTTTTTTTCACGAGAATGCTATAGCATATATAACAAATTGCAATTCAATTCAATTTTTTACAATTCAAACAACGCCTTCAGCCTCTTTGGTACTCTCAGTCGCGCTGGCGCTGGCGTGTTCGTCTCCAGTGCCAGTGCCAGTGCCAAGGGAGTACCTCAATTGGTGATCACCATGGAGAAATGTATGGCGAGGTTTTCACCAATTGGCTCAATCAAAAGCTAATCCCTAATCGTCCAGCACACACTGTCATAGTAATAGACAATGCACCTTAAAACAATATTTGCCATAGCAAGTTTCCAACGGAATTAAGTACAAAATGTGTGATGGCAGCGCCATAACATACACCTCAACCAAACAGCCCAGGACTCGCATTCTCGCAATAAATATATGATTCTCGTTGCAAGCCATTATGTTACGTGTGGCACAAAAGCTCAATTGAATACATGTGCATTGAAAAAATATATTATTTAGAAAATGGAAATGTTTGGATTTGAACCAGCACCTGTATAGTTGATAGACCAGCACGTTACCACTACACTACAATATATCACTGTAAGTAGAATCAGAAGTATGCAGTAGTATGGCCAATAAGTATTACAATACTATACACATGACTTACCTTTTCTGAAGTGCACTGATCCATTGTATGTTTACAACGGTTCCGAAACAAATAAACTTCAACAGTAGGTTTATGTCACTTGCCTACCGAAAATCGAAATATGCATTGTTGTACTTATAGGAGCCGGAAAAAACCCACGAAAATCTCGCTCAAAACGGTGGTCAAGCCATCATTCTTAAAAAGTAAACAATTTCTTGGAAAAAATCTTGATGAGGGTCTTCGCAGCCGTTTGCGGCTATTGATTTTTTTTCAGTTCGGTTAAATAAAAATATATTGGCCAGTTTTCTTGCCGCGTTGGAAATCCTGTCAGGTATCCGCCATTTATTACACAATTCTGCGTTACTTATTGCACGAATCGTGCGTTATTTTCACATTCCGGCGTTACTTGATATACACGGTGTTGTATGGTTAAGTTGTTATATTTGATAACCAACATTTTGGCGTGTTTAAGATATCAGCAATCGTTCAATAGACAAGTGATCCTCCCTGGTGTCAAATAGGATCTACACCTGATACAAACGGTGTCGCAACGTACATTGTCTTCAATAATAAATTGATCCAAGTTATGTACTGTTCAAAGATATAAATGCCGGAAGTTGTACATGAAATTAAATAAAGGAAAAGAAGGTGAAAAATTAAATAACCGAAAAGCATGTACATTTTTATCAAAGTTAGATCAGGTCGGTTAAGTTTAGCACATTTTTAAGCAACTGGTCCTAGTTTAAACAGTCACGTAAAACACATACTTTAGATAAATAATTCTAATCGCATACGAGTGTTATATGGCTAATAAATAAACAAAGGTACGTGATTGTACTTGAATATTATGTCCTGGATTGTAAACAACAAGTGTCTCTGTACCGCTAGATCGATAAAGTTAATCAATAAAAACAATTACAAAGACATAATTAAATCAGGAAAACTTCAAGGTTCCCGACAATTACCGTATTTGTTAACTAGTTTGGAGCGTTTTCTCACAACACTATCACACACATTATTGATGGGTTTCCTTAAACCTAAAATAGAAATTAATTTCCAACCATACCAACAATCTAAATTAAGAAATGGAAAAAAAAACTCTAATTACTGTGTTTTCAACTAACACATGAAACATTTACAATGCACTCAAACAAATGGTGATATATTTGTATGTTTATATGGAATACGGGTTTAGCCACGTATTTCTCAAGTTTCTATTCGATTAAGATAAGAGACATATAAATCATCAAGACAAGTTCGATGAAAGTGAAATTTCATACCTAAATTACTCACTGCATATATTTAACATTTTAAAATAATTCGTCAGTTTAACGTGTAGTTTTAAATCACGGAATTTACGGAGTGTTTTTAAATCGGAATTTATTTCGATATTGCTACAATACGAGTTTATAATGCGCTAAGGCGTGTGATCTTTTCATTCGGAAATGAATAGGTAACTATTTATTGAAAAGAGATCGGTTTAATAAGGGTAAAGTTTTACCTATAATTATGTATACAGTAAAGTGTAGTTTTAAGATTAAGTTCAACGGTTAAATAAAGGTAAGAACGTGGAATATTAGGTGGGTTGATTTTTAATATTTAACTTGCTTGGCAATCACATGAACAGACAAAAAAGTTGAACGGATTTTTAACGATATACGTACAAGTGTTAGAAAAAAATTATTAAAGAAGGGAATTGAGGAAAACGTGAAACAAACAAAGAATTCAAAATGTGAGACACATAAAACACTTTTCATTCAAGAAGTGTTCAAACACACTTTGTTGGTGCTAAAATAATGTGTGTATATGTGAAGTTAACGTGTTCATAAAAAAAGTTATCTGATAAAAAATCACTATCAATATGATGCTATCATATTTTGATACAGAAGAACAGACTCCGGACCAGGTAAAACATTCTCTATTAGATGTTGGGTTATACTGTTTAAAGATCCTGTAACACTATTGTTTATGGTTTTTTATATCAATAATTATTATGATGCTCAAATTAAGATTCATCAATTTTGTAAGTTCCAAAAAGCATTAAAAGATATAACCAAATTTAACATTTCATGTAAATGAGGAAGGTTATTTCTATAAAGTCAAAGTCAAATTTTTCAATAAGAAATGAATGCATATTATTTAATGATTACATAATATATGTACAAATATTTGCAGTACATCTTTTACGTATTCTTCGCTGTTTCAAAAATTGTTTTATTAGCATTATTATTTACATAATTATACATGTATATAATTTCACTAAAGTGAAACACAATCTCAAATACAACCTCAATTACAACATACAAGATATTTAAAGGCACATTACCTAAAATATCATAATTTCATAAAGAAAAAAAACGTACGCTGAAACGAAATTTTCTGTTTCCCTGCCATATTTATGTATTAGCAGAATATATACCCCAACTGAAATGGCATACGATAACATAAATGCTTGAAATTCATGTAGGTCAGTTGTTTTTTTACATTTTGAAGCTTAGTAACAAAGTTGGTAAAAAATAACTTTTTTAAAACGTTATGAAATTCTGTTCAAACTTGTTCACGTGTTAGACACACTAATACTCGTATAATCAAAAAATAAAACTAGTTCTTGTAATAAATAATACTTTTAGTTTTTAATATTTAGGTGCGGTGAAGGGCTGAGGTCTACACTCCAAGTGTCTGTGAAATTGTAGGTCATAAAAGTAACAAAATGTAAACAAAGCAGTATTTTTACTTCCATACTGTTACCAAATCACTAAAAGTGTATGCATTACCAATAGGTAACAAAAGCCAAATATTGTTCTGATAAGTAGCCAATGAGAAAAAAAAAACAAAGTCGTTAGGGAAGAAACAAAGATCTTTAAAGATCCTGTAACACATTTTTTATGGTTTATATAAAAAATATGATGCTCAAATTAAGCTTTAATCAATATTGTAAGTTCCAAAAAGGATATTACCGAATTTAATAATTCATGTAAATAAAGGGAGGTAATTAGAAATTTGTTTTCTATAAATTCTAAGTCAAATTTTCCAATAAGAAATTATGGAAGGGATTATCCGCCACTCTAATTAATATGAATACATTGTAATTAATATGAAAACTTCTTAATATTTTGAAGACATTCTTATTGATATGAAGACATTATTATTATTATGAAAACATTGTTATTAATATATTAACATTATATTAATACGTTGTAATCATTATGCAATATTATAAGATGTTGTACTTGCTGACGTAACTCGAGTTCTTATTGAAATATGCGAACATTCATTTTACACTTCAGTTCTAAGGCTATAAACATGCAAACTATAATTAGATATTTAATTTGCTGGCGTCAAATATTTTTCCTTTATTTGAATTTGCTTTCTAAAATTAATTTGACACATTTTATTCTGACAGTGTTTAAGTATTTATTTTACAAAAAACATGGTAATTTTAGTCGCATGCTGACATTGTGCATTATGTATTCGAAACAACAGTTTACATAGCACACTAAGAGTTTCGAAGTATAATTCAAAATTAATTAGGTTTTTGTGCTAGAATTGGCCCTTTTAATCAACGGGGAATAACTGGTAAAAATGTAAAAAATAATGTGAATATTTCCCCCTATATATAACGTATAGTAAAAGGCAGAATATCTCAAAATCCGCCGCAAACAGTATGCCACATGCATACCTTTTCTGAAAGATCTTCAAAAATGAGTTGCAAGGCAGGGTATCACGATGTTTGATCGGATCTTTTCCACGAGGGGATTTTTACGTTCGCACCGAAAGGGATCAGTTAGTATTAAACAGCGACCTCTGTCGTAAGAAAACGCAGGCGCACTACAAAGATTGGTTCCCCGCTTCGTTTTTTGATAACGTCAACATTGTTATGAAGACGATTTTGTTTTAATGAGTCAATGTTAAACAGCATTTTATACTGCGAATGATGTTTCGATTGTTTTGATTAAATGTTGAACATTTTATTACAAATGAGTTAACATATATATTCGGTAGCGTCCATACACTGAATGCCTAATGTTGATTTTAATGTGTGATTTTGAATTAAAATGTATTAAATATATTTTAAGGGAAATCATACCAATTTTCAGAATGAAACAAGAAAAACGTGTATAATAACAAAAATTAACGTATAACAAAGATATATATATTTCAAATACCTTTATAATTATAAAGATACGAAATACACTAAGTCTTGAAAATACCTAAAATCTAACATCAAATTCACTATCGCAAAAGTAAAAACGGAAATTGGAATGTTATAAAGCATAATAGATGAATTGGCGGATAATCCCTTCCATAAGAAATTAATGCATATAATTTAATGATTACATTTAATATGTACAAAATTTTTAGTACATATTTTACATATTCTTCGATGTTTGAAAATTGTTGTATTAGCATAATTACATTGTATATACATACATGTATATAATTTCACGTAAGAATTACAAAACATACAGCATCTTTACGTTTACTTGCAATCCAGTGACACGAATGATTTGTTTTGTAAGATTATAGTATCATGCTAATATTTAAATTTACAAAAAGAATTTATCAGTTTTGTTTGAATGAAAGGTGAATAAACCATTGTAATTTAGGATGGCAACGAGGTGTTCCTTACATTTTTATCACGTTCCTTCAGTTATGGACAGGGTCGGATAGTTTCTAAACACAATTTATTTATTTCTTCCACGTTAAAACTGAATAAAAGTCTGACCTTTGACCTCTACTGTATGTAATTTAGAAAAAAAATGTAATATAAAAAAATCTACCAAAATGAAAAAGCATTATTTATATATAACTTTATTAACTTTATATATTTTTTTTAAATTCTGAAGTTAGATTTATAAATGCCGTTTTAAATACCATAAGCCCTCTGCATGTGAAAATACAATATAAGATTTTCATTCTTTATCTATACTGGGCCGAGCATTTAACATTCATTTATCATATTTTAGTCGGCAGAATATTTGCAAAAGTTGTTGACCCTATTGATATAAGCTTTAAATTAAATACTGACAAGATTATAGCTAACACGAGACTTTATCTACTGGTATATATACGAACATACATGTATAATAACTTGTCATAAACATACCCCATACCCTCCCCGTGGTTGTCATAAACATACCCCATACCCTCCCCGTGGTTGTCATAAACATACCCCATACCCTACCCGTGGTTGTCATAAACATACCCCATACCCTCCCCGTGGTTGTCATAAACATACCCCATACCCTACCCGTGGTTGTCATAAACATACCCCATACCCTCCCCGTGGTTTAGTTATTTGTAAAATTTGCTTAAACTTATATAATCTTTGTATCGGTTATGTTACCTATATTTCCTACAATGCCTCCGAAGTAGTGCCTGGGTATACAACCTTTTTACCCACATGTAAATGTAAAATGTACACTGGACCTCGGTTTTTTCCAGATCATACGAAAAGACCGTTAGTACCGTAAGTGTTGGAACAGGGAACCTGCGGCCCTTGTATAATGAGACAAGTGGTCAATTCGTTTCGTAAGGCAGTTGTTGAGATCCATATATGCCTTCAGTTTATATATATATATAATTATATGCATACATTTTATTGTATTATCCGGATCTTATGTCATCAAAACAGAAAAAAACTTTTAACAAGTTTTCTTTATCTTACTGTTTCTAGGCTCGGTTATATGAGACATGTCTGAAAGGAAGCCGGGATGAAATCCGAAACTTTGTGAATACAAGGGATATTTCTACTCAATATTTAAAGGTAAGTTTATACATGAAATCGTACAAAAATACTTTTCGGTCGTGCCAAGAAAGAAACTGAGTCTATTCCCGTTCTTTCATAAGTCTTTCAGAAATTTGAGAATTGAGATACTTTTACCGTTTTAGCCTGGTATATCAGAATGTCTATTATTCCGTCATTTCTTAACCCTAAGCAGAATGCGCATGCGTGACATATCTCCTTTGTTGCTATGAAATTATCGTACTAAAAAAATGTTCTATATTCTTGATTTAAACTCGTCGAGCGGCTCGGGTTATATTTACAAACAGCCGTATATATATAGGGCCATATAACCTGTCAACAATCTTTATAACTAATATTATAAACGTCACGATTATCCAATGAAAAGTGACGTTACAAACGTGCACCATGTAACACGTGTTTAAATCTTAAACAGGGGGTCGAACGTTATTTATAGCAGTGCAATACTTTTAAAGCGAGGTGAAATCATGCAATACGGAATAATTGTAATTAGATTGTAATTTCTTAAAGAATAGCATTGTGCATGCTGCTCAGAACTTATAAATTGTGCATGATCGTCAAAATGGAATACTAAATGTTAAAGTATTGAGGAAGTTATTGAGGTATTTGTTGCTGCAACATGATATGCACATGCAAAAGAATACAGTATCAGTAGTTTTAAAACGAGATATTTGATCAGTTTAAGTCTTAACATGTTTATTTTTGATAACAAAACGATAAACAAGAGAAGTTTTCCATATCTATTCAAAAAATATACAATATTTCCAGTTTTACTATACGCTATATCAAGTATTGTGTTTGTATGTTGATCATATGTAAACCACAGTGTCAATAAAAACAACAGTGTCAATTAATGTTTTATACTAAGATATGGATAATTTAAATATTCTATTCTCACAAAGATTAGATATTGAAATTGAAATTCTTTCAAATAACCAATAGTAACGATAATTTTCGTTTTGTTTATTCAATTTATTTACTCCTATAGAATCCTTCAAAATGCTTCTGTTGACCTCTTATGCAAGCTAGTGCCTTTCTGTGTGTGTGAACGCTTATGGTCTTGCCTAAGTTGAGGTTAAAAAACATTTTGAACTTGTATGTTGCCTTTTATGTGAATAATGTGCGCTGTAGATATTCTACATGCCCCAATGATGTACAAACCGAGGGGGGATTATGCACCTATTAATAGGTCTGGTAGGGATACCAGGATTAGGATACCTTTATTTGAAATATTTGAAATTTCATATGAAATGTTATGTCTTTGTACAGAATTTACTTTTTCAGTAAGAAATAATGACACCTGTGTAGGATTTTAGATTTTCTTTCTGTTAAAAGTTTCTGATTATTCATGTTGATAGGTGCATAATGAGTGAGGAGGCACACTTAAACTAAAACCTTAATGAGTAAACGTTATTCTTCTTATTCAGAAAGTCACTGATTACCGCAGTTTAAAAGATATTTAGTAAAATAAACATAAAAGTAATAGATATGTTAAATTTGCTGTGTTTTTTAAAAAGTTGGTCAGTTGGTCACTGAAACAATAAAATAATAATAAACAATAAAGCTAATTGGGATATTTTTGAGCACACATAATACATATTACTTTATGTATTACATAGTTTATAAGTTTGCTTTGATAAAACTTGTATACAGTGCAACGTTTTGGAATGAAGATACAGTAGCAATGAACGTTGTTAAAAATTAAGTGATATGTATAAATATAGTTTTCTAAGATCTTAGAGTAAATGTTACTTTTTCCAACCCCTAATCATCACAGCAGATATATAATTATTAAAATTCAGTTCATATTGTAACATTTATATAGATGGTGTTTTTTGTTTGTCATTTAGAGATGTCCTTCAGAATGTTATAACTTAATCAAAATTACTTGCACAAATTATTGCGTCTTAGCAAATCACTGTTGACTGATAAATAATACATTATTCTAAACACTTCTGAGAGAAAATACGAAACTTCAGAAAATGATAATCAAAGCGTCTTATTTACTATGTTAAAGGCCCATTATGCTTCAGATATGATTTTATTTTTATTTCTCAAAATCTTTTAAATTTTAGTGTACTTTTATAATATGCTTAAAATTACTCATTGACCAATTACTTCAACAAACATTTTTGCTTCTTGGCAATAAATATAGTTATAGTGAATGGAAGTCAAAATACTACTTTGTTTACATTTTGCTATTTTGATAAATTATTTCAGATTAAATTGTATTGGTAATAAGCATCTAACATGTTCTAAACATTATAAAATTCATATTTGCGCTTTCTAAACAAGTAAAAATTTATGCTTCGGGGGCATAATGGCCCTTTAAAGAATCGACATTTCGTTTAAAAAATCTATTCTTGCAATTGTAAAAGGCTTCTTTCAAATTTCATTGCTGTCTAATATTACACGTGTAAAATTTGTTTTAAGGATGGCATGAATCCGATGCACGTGGTGGCGATAGCAGGTCGGAAAGATGCCGAGGTTATACTAGATATGATGTTACAGAACGGATTTAACGTGAACGATCAGACAAAGACAGGGGAAGATACGGTGTTACACCTTATTGTAGAGCATATAGACGTAAAACAAGCGTTCCCTTTAGTCCTCAAGATCCTAGAATACAATCCGGATCTTCAAATACGAAACCGGGTAAGAAAATATCTTTAAAAACGTCAAATTTATCGCCATCATTGTCTTCTTTTTTTGTCATTTATAAATGACAGTGTCAGTAGCATCGAGATCGTCATATCGTCGCTATCATCACCATTACCAGTCCATCAAATTCTTTTATCGCCGTCACTACCTTCTATTTCGTCATAATTTTCTATTTCGTCATAAAATACATCATCATTGGCACGTGGTCGTCATCGTCGTTATCATCACCTCGCTAACAATCTAGTCCCCTCTGCATAATATATGTAATGAATATCATTTATTTTTTCAGAAATTGAGAACACCGTATGACCTTGCACTGGCACATGAAGAATATGAACTGGCTGAAGTGCTGGATGGTCACATGACTGCAGCAGAAGCACGAGAATTTTACAAAAACAAAATAGCTGCCATTTACGGGGTAAAAGTTGTTTTATGCAATCATCGCGAGCTTTTGTTGTTGTTTTTTTGTTTATTGCGCATGCGTGAACTGATTTTTGTTTGAAAAAGAAATAAATTCTTTTTATTGTTTGAAGAATTGCTTTATATCATATATTTTATAATGGATCATTAAAATATTTAACATGTTTGATTCTATTTCTCCGTTTTATCTTACACTATTTATTCACATTTATTCACTTCCGTTCTTAAAATGCTTAACAGTTAAACTGATTTTAAATCCATAGAGAAAGAAAAGAGTTCTGTCCCCTAGAACGAAACGTTATTTTCAGGTAACAATTTGCACGAGTGGTCATGCTGCACGAGTGATTTGGCCAGCAGAGTTTTTTTTTAGGGATTTAGGTGTAGTGCTTTATTAATAGATTTCATTCAGTACATAAATTATACAAAACGAAGTAGAAAAATGTAAAAACAGAAACAAATTTCGTTTCTTTTTGTATTTTTTTAGTCTTCTTGAAAACAGAAAACATACATTGGTTGTTAGCTTTATTGATCTGTAAAATGAATGTGCCAAACATCTGCGTTACCATAATAATGATGATGATATTAATTGACATATATAAAGTCTAAATATACAACGTGTTACTTGTTTGATTGTTATTTTCTTTCATCGTGATGTATTCAATGAAACATTTTATTTATTCGGCTTTTTATTGCTTTCATAAACTTCAACTGCTAATAGTAGTCTAGAAAAACACCATTACAGTATATACATACTAGTTTTAACACCAATTTTAAATAAATTATGCGAACATAATAAAAATGAATGAATCAAGAGCTCGAATAAAGTCAGAAATTCCGTCACTTTTCGTATTTAATTTTTTAATGAGTGATCTGAATTGTGTCCTGATCATATAAGTGGAAACGGAAAAAGACGGAATTTACCGAATTTTCAAGAGCTAATGATAATGAACATTTAATGTATAATAATGTGAAAAGATCTGATGTCATATAGTAATAGGACTGAAGCCATAATAAATAAATTAATTAAAAACAATACTGTTTGTGATTTACAGACGCTTGTAAAATCTTATACATAAATTGCTTTGGTTCGGTTAATTTCTGTTTTGTCTATAATATTTTATCTTATAACAAGGAGATGTAAGTTTGTATGTAAATTTGAATGTAAATTTGTATGTATATTTGTATGCATATTTATAAGTATATTTGTATGTATATTTGTATGTAAATTTGTATATATATTTATATGTATATTTGCATGTAAATTTGTATGTAAGTTTGTATGTAAATTTGTATATATATTTATATGTTTATTTGTATGTATATTTGTATGAAAGTCTGTATGTAAATTTGTATGTTAGTTTGTATTTAAGTGTGTAGGTAAGTTGTTTGTAAATTTGTTTGTAAATTTGCATGTAAGTTTGTATGTAAGTTTTCATGTAAATTTGTATGTGAATTTGTATGTATATTGAAGGCGAAACTAGTAGATGCCGTGCTGAGAAGTAACGAAAATGATATACAGGACTTTCTAAAGCTTGGTGCTGACCCTAACTATGTTAATGAAGTAAGTTAAACATTATTCGTAAAACATACACTTTCGTTTTATTGTTTCATCCGTTGCCAATCGATATTTTTATAACTCACGTAAATGTTTTACTAGACGTCATATAGCCTGGTCAATATTTTTTTTTTGATTTTCCACAGCGGCGAGTAATTCATATAGACTTTAAGGAAACGTAATATTCTATATATTCTATGAAGATCTCAGGTCCCCCTCCGTGTATTATTTCAGGCACGAACGGGCACCTGAGTAGAACCACAGACGCTTGGGGGTCAGATCCTGCCCCCAACGTGATACGCCCCTGTAAACACTCTACCAGAACTATTTTTATTTTTAAACACGAATGGGACATCTATTACAACGATAAAAATGGTTTTCAAACATTTTTTACATAAAAGAAAAAAATACCGTATACCATCAAGTCTAAAATACTTTATTGAACCTTGATGGTATACGGTATTTTTTTCATATATGTAAAAAATGTTTGAAAACCATTTTTATCGTTGAAATAGATGTCCAATTCGTGTTTAAATATAAAAATAGTTTTGGTAGAGTGTTTACAGGGGCGTATCACGTTGGGGGGCAGGATCTGACCCCCAAGCGTCTATGAGTAGAACCACCGACGTTCCGTTATACGTTATACAATTATCGTAAAATACTTTGTAACTTTGATAACACTATTGTGATACATTAAGAATAGTAATAAACCGATTTCAACAATCATAAAAATTCCTATACATTTTTGTGAATTGATTTTTTTTATTTCAGCATAAAAATGGTGCAATACATTACGCAATTACCCACTGTACGTTACCTACAAGAAAAACGTTACAATTACTTATAGACGGTAATGCTGACGTCAATTTACAAGATGACGTAAGTAAAATATGACAACATAATATACAAATACCGTAGATATTTTTGTTCATTACTGATGATGGGTTAATATGTGAGGACTGTTTTGGTCTGAAAGTGGCATTATTTTTTAAGTTTGAATTGACATATCTATCCCGATTTTAGTAATAACTGTCACAAAATTCATACTTGATCGATGTATTAAATAAGAACCGATTTGATATAAATAATATTATATATTTACACAGGAAGGAGACACCGCCCTGAATCTAGTGATTAAGATGTCTAAATTAAGGGATACGGGAGATATGTATAAATGCGCCGAGCTGCTGGTTCAGAACGGAGCACTCTCAACATTCAAGGATTTAGTAAGTGCCAAACTAAAATGTTTTCTTTTTTTCTTGTTAGGCTTATAATCTAACATACATTATTGTAACTACTGGAATCAGAAATAACTTTAAACCTATTGAGTTTTTTTTAATAAACTTGACAAGCGTAAATTTTTTTAATGTACATTATCAATTTTGGAGACATTTAGATGAGCATTTAAACAAAGCCAACAATATATAGTCTGACCAGACAGCCCGGGTATGCAAGCTTGTCCTGGCTAAACTTGTGGCCAGAGTTCAGTTCCGGTTGAAGCTGCTGCTTCTTTTGTTGACAAGAAAATTGTAATTTATATACTGTCCTATTTCACTTCTCAGTAGGTATTATTAAAATTGTAATACACTTTAGTTGACTATGAAGTATTCAAATGTCACAGGGTAAAAAATTGTGCAGTCTGGCAGTGACTCGAACCCGGGACCCTCGGAATACCGTCCCGCGGCTCTACCGACTTAACTATCTGGCCGCTTTCACATCATTTCCCCTAAATAGTGAACAGTTCTGAGCCATGGCATACCCCATTGCTATATTGAAATCCGTCCTCGAATTTCACAGAGTTACAGAGCAATGGAAATTAAACTCTGAGCTATATGCTGTCACGGCTGAAAATGTGCAGCCTGACCGGGTCTTTAGGAATACCGTTTCGCGGTTCTACCGACTGAGCTATCCGGCCGCTTATACATTTAGATATTGTTGATATCAAAAAGTATAGAATAGCTATGTCACGTTTAAGAATGTCTTCTCATCGTCTAGAAATAGAGGTGGGTAGATGGAGAAAACCCTACAGTGTACCTTTAAATGATAGAGTCTGTGTTGCATGTAATCAGTTAGAGGACGAGTTCCATTTTGTCATTATATGTCCTATTTATCAGGAACTCCGAACAAGATTTTTAAAGAAATATTACTGGAGGTTTCCTAGCATGTTTAAATTTGTTCAGTTGGTTACAAGCGATAATGTACATGATATTAGAAATTTAGCTATGTTTATATACCATGCCTTCCATATTAGACAACAGTTACAAACAATTCTCGTGTAAAGGTACAAAAATGTTTAATTTAAAGTTCTATATATATGTTTTATGCGAATCGAATATCTAGCCCCATGCAAACTTACATAGAAGTTAATTGACACATTGTATTGTACTTCTATGTGTGTAATGTACGAATATTAGCTGTCATGTAATTGTATATAGATGTATTATTGACGTCGGTGGTTCTACTCAGGTACCCGTTCGTGCCTGAAATAATGCACGGAAGGGCACCTGAGGTCTTCCTCCACCATAAAGCTGGAACGTCGCGATATGACCTATACTGTGTCGCTGTGACGTAAAACCCAAAACAAACAAACAAAAATGTATTATTGATACATTGCAATTCTTTGTGTATTTTATGTATAATAGGTTAAGTAACACGATGATTATAAAGGCTATAAATTTGTAAGTTTCAAATCATACACTGGTCTTACGTGTATCAAGTTTGAAGCAGTATATGTGTTCAAAGTATAGTTTAGAAGTAACATTTGTTTTGTTTTGTTTGTATAATTTCGATATTTTGTGCCATATTTCTATTGCAATAAATCAAAACCATATAGCTTAGATTAGTAAATGTAATACAAAGACCAGTGTATGGAAGAGAATTAAAAGTATACTATGTAATAGATGCTGACAATGTCTCTCCCGTGATTGCAAGCCTAATACATACACGAAGTACTTCTTATTATTGTATATTTGAATGTAGAATCTCTCAAAAAGTAAATAACTTGTAAATTAAATATATAATCAATGGTAACCATTATAATAATGAAAGAAAAAGAAATACTTGCAGTCACGTACGTCATCTTGCTATGTAATTATATAATAGTTATTTACTTATGCATACATGTTATTGTATATATTATGAATGCTTGTACATGACTCTTTTGAGAGTTAATTTGCAAAATAAAGATTCTTCTTCTTCGTCTTCTACATCTTCTCCCCTCAATAGTGATCAGTTCTGAGTCGTGACTCAAAACACCAAGAAATTTTGTAAATATATTTTAATTTTAACTCCAAATTTAAAGCTTTCTCAAAGTATTTTTGTAAATAATAAAATATAAATCATAATAATTATGATCTTATGAAAACATTCGTTTTTCAAATTAATCAATTCAAATATTTGAGTTGTGAATATAGTTTTTTTATTAATAAAATGTATTGTATTATACAACATTATGCTATTATTTCTTCAGGACGGCAATGATGCTCTCAGCTTAGCCAGAAAACGTCAATACGATGATGTTGTGAAACTCCTCACAGAACGCAGAACGCAACATATACAGGTAAACATAATGTTGTTGTCAAACATCACGTGCATTTCTCATGAATTCACGTATATCTTGTCATTTTTGAATGGCTAGAGTTGTGCTGTTTATATCAGGTATCGGGTCTCGAGGTAATGTTAACACTTTCTTAGCTCAGGTATTTGAGTGGTCAGAAACCGGCATGCAAACACTGACCAATAGAAATTCTGATTCTTGAGATATAGCTTAAGGAAATGTTTTATAACCTCGAGGCCGGTATGAAAGTTCTAAATATGTATATTTTATTATATACAATTTGTATTATATCATTATGTAGTCTTATACTATAGTCTATACCATATAACTACAACGGGGACTTAAAAAAACATGTAAATGAAACCATCATGACACGAAAAGAAACGCACTATTTGTTCATTATTGTGCGATAAAATTGTTAAGTATTTTTCATAAATTATAATTTCGTATAAATATTCGTATACATATGTTATATTAAATGTAGTTATTTCAACAGCTGCATTTAAACACGTATAAACGAGCTCGATAGAGAAACACACCCAGGAAACATGGCCATACATCGAGTATGTCTCGAGCATATGACCTGTAGGTTGATAGGCATGCGACCTTACCGCTAGATTACATTTCTCCTCTCTGAAATGTCTACGGTGAATTCATTTTATAAAAGCTAGGACCGGCGCAAAATAGCTTGAAACTTTAAATTGTAAATATGATAAGTTTGCTTAATTATAAAAGCTACCTCCGGTTGACGAATCCGAGGCTGATCACCCTCCACCTTTACCTCGGACTGAGCTAGAGAACCTTCCTCCACTTCCGGAATTACCAAACGACCAACAGGAAATAGAAACTGCGGAGGTAACAGACCACTAAATATTGCATGTACTTCCTCTCTGCATGCATATAGTATCTTCCGGCAGTGGATTTCTTATTCTACGTGGCTTTGTTTCTTTTATATTTTTGTACACAGCTGCACTATCCATGTAGTTCCTGACATTTTCAACATCTATCTTAACTGTCATTCGGAAAGTATTTTAATATTTTACATATTTCGTTTCCATTTATTCACGTAATGTAAAAGAACAGTGTCTGCAACTAACTTGAATGGTACAACTCATTTTGAATCACGAATAAAGCATGTAATATTCTTTAAAAAGATTCTCTACTTGCTTTGGAAACATTCATTCTGCATAACCTTTTCTGAACTTTTGCTTCTTCTTACATATTATATATTATGGATATGGCAATATGATATGCATGTATGTAAATTTTTAACTTTTATTTGGTTTTCCCTGACCAGTAGCACAGTCTGTATAGACAATAGTGTCATGCAAGGCTTTGATGAATATTTTTCCTGCATGCTTGCAAATTATTATTATTTATACAGTCAAAATATATTTATATATATAGTAATAGTATACAGTTATACGATATAATCATTCATACGGCCATACTTGTTGTAACTATTTATACCACGAAACAGTGAATTATTTATACTGCTATAATATAGCCAAACAGTCAATTAAACATTCGGTCATAATACGGCCAAACAATGAATTATTTATACGGTAATAATACTGCCAAACAGCAAACTATTCATACAGTCATAATACGGCCAAACAGCGAATTAATTATACTGTCATGATACGGCAAAATAGCGAATTATTCTTACGGTCATTATACGGCCAAACAGCGAATTATTCTTACGGTCATAATGCAGCCAAACAGCGAATTATTTATACGGTCATAATACGGCCAAACAGCGAATTTTTCATACGGTCATCATACGGCCAAACAATGAATTATTTATACTGTCATGATACGGCCAAACAATGAATTATCTATACTGTCATAATACGGCCAAACAATGGATTATTTATACTGTCATAACACGGCCAAACAGCGAATTATTCATACGGTCATAATACGGTTAAACAGTCAGTTATACATTCGGTCATAATTCGACCAAACAGTGAATTATTTATGAGGGCATATGACACATATACTGCTTTAACAGTTACGCTTGTTGTATACCTTACGTCAATCAGTGAAAGATTCTTAGAATAGTAAACATGTTTAACCATGATCACATAGACGTTTGTTATCTTACAAGGTGTTGAAAAATGACCGAAATGTATCTGTTTTTCACAAATTTCTAATAGATGTTGTTATTTGAATTTAAAATTTGTGCCTATTGTATGTTTGATTTAGCAGAAAGTCTAAACGTTTATAGCAAAACGAAAGAATTTGTTGGCATTTTGATAAATTGGCACTTATATTTGTTATTGCACTTACTTTTTTATTCACAGGAACAGAAAATTTAGGTGTTTGTGAACACTTCCATCACTTTTATTTTGCTTTTATCATTTGGAATGCTAGCCTTCAGCAATAACACAGATACATCAATTTTGTTATTTTCGTTTTATAAAGTATAAGTATAAAATGATTTGTAGCCAAGAAGACAACACCGGGAACCTGCACCACCTGGTCAGAGTAGTGGACTAAATTTGGCACAGAACACAGGTCAAAATACTATACCACACCCAGTCCCGGCCCCGGGACAGAACATCGGCCCAAGCATGGGATTGAACACCGGACCAACACCTAAGCCAAAGGCCATACAACCATCCCAGCTTCCTCCTCCACCAAAATTTATACCTCGTCCAACAGATATAGATGATATATCTGAAGAAGAGGAAGATGAAGACGATACTAGTCCTGTACCGCCACCCACGATGCCACAGGTTCAAGCATTTAGCCAATCTCAGTGTTTTTGTGCCGGAATTCATTCACCAAACATAGTCCTTTTGCATGATAACACGAGCCTAACCCTCGCATGAAATTTGACTTTTTTTCTAATTATCCAGATTTACAGCTTAACATGTGGAATGTTGAAATAACATCTTAACATTTTTTTCAGCTTATGTATAAAAATCAAACGGGTGCATGCTTGTGGGTATTTTTTATTGTTTAAATTCAATGGTGCCTAATAATTACATTACAAGTATTTATTTACCATGACGGTTAAAAGTAGTCCTAGCCGTAGATTCTAATATAACGTCTCATTAGCTCCACAAAACTCACGTGATGATGGTCTTATCACATGACTGTGTCAAGATGGCGGATCGTTGAACAATTGTTTTATCTGTAAGAAACAGCGACAGTATAACTTGAGCTCCGGTGTCAAGTCTGTCGATATGATTGAAAATGTTCGTTTTTGTGTAAAATCGAAATTATTAATTGCTTGAATGATTGTTCTTTCGGAAGCGACCATTGTTTTGGAAATAAACGGTGCGATATTCATTTTTTTTTAATCTTTATGTTTCCGAAATATTTTATATTTTAGTTCACATGTAACAACTTACAGTCTTGAAACATTAGCAATATCGTGTTTTCTTTTAAAAAAAATCAAAATTGAAAAATTTCATATCGTCCAAAATCTTGACGAAAATGTTGTGATGGCAGAGATCTAATCCTGTTACGGGAGATTACTGCGTGGGAGATTACTTTCTTTTCTGCTTGCGTTATGTATTTTCCACTTTATATTTCTCTCCTTTTTGTAATTATTAGTTAAAGGCACATTATACCTCGAAAACGAATAATTGTTTCATTCTTTAGAAAGTGCAAACATGAGTATTATAATGTTTAACAGCATGTAAGATGATTTTCGCCCAGAAAATAAAATTATTTGTCATAAAAGTAGCAAAATGTACCAAAGAAGCATTTTGACTTCTATACAAAATACTTAATCACTAAAATAGAAGTAATTTGCAAAAGATAACGGAGCAAAAACAAATTGGTTCAGGTATTTGGCTAATATGTATTTTAAGGAAACAGGACATAAATAATAAAAAAAAAATTTAGAAATAGAAATAAAAGCATTCTGAAGCATAATGGGCCTTAAAAGACGGATCGAAATTTCATTTTTTTTTCAGTTTCTAACTTGCCAGATATCTAATGAATAGAGATTTAACTGAGATATGAATTGGTCAGTACTCGGAAAACATAAGAAAAGAAAGAAAAAAACAATGTTTAACTATTGGTCACCTTATTTTATTTTGTCCTTACTTTGTGGTGATTTCTCTAACAGACTACTTTTTGTTTTCTTTTTATTTAAGATTTGATTGGATAAGACAAAGCAGCATAATTGTACCAATGAGTTAATTAGCCTGAAGATAAAGTTATTTATTTTAGGCAGGGTATTATAATGATCGGGTGACGTCATGATATAGCTTATCATTTCATTTTATCTTACTAACACAAAAGTTAGAATATTAAGATTTTCCTTGTGCTTACATTTCCTTCCAAGATAAAATATCTGCTATTTTACTATGAATTTCTGTCAATTCCATTAAACAAAACTATGTAACATAAATATATCAATGTAGATGCACTTTGATTGATTTAATTATAATATTTTATTTCATTGACCATAAGTTTAGTACACATTATTTCTCAGGATTTGAATAAGAATACAGTAAACTCTTTGAAAAACGCATTCATTACTTGTACAATATTTTAAAATAATATTAATTACACGTTTCCTTTGAAGCATATTATGAACGATTTCCTCACCCCACGTGACGGTGTTTGGCAATCAAGCACCCCCGTGCCTTCAGAACCCGGCTTAGTCGAACACAACCCACAGGAATGGGTAATAAAAGAAAAAAAAATATCGAGATATACAGCTTACCGAGTGATATCACTGAATGAAAATAAATCTAATAATTACAATAGTGTTTTTTATTTCACCATACACGTGTAAATTGTAGTTATCACGTGACCCATAATGCACTGATGGTGTTATAATACACTGTAAATATGCAATAGTTCAGATAATGTACACAGTACACACTACTAATAGAATGACACTATTTTTAGACTTCTTGTTTCTAGTGTCAACTTTGCTTCGCTTTGGGAGACAGTGTTGAGTTAACCTTTTACCATTATCACAAATTGCATGCCTCACTTTTTATCCTTGTATATATAGATGTAGCTTTTTAATACCTCACACTTGTAACAACAATTTTCATTGGTCAATTGTGAATTTTACATTATACATGTTTTTTTTAGCTCACCTGTCACTTTGTGACAGGGTGAGCTTTTGTGATCGCTTTTCGTCCGGCGTCCGTCCGTCCGTCCGTAAACTTTTACTTTAAATGACGTCTCCTCATAAACCACTAAGCCAATTTTATCCAAACTTCACAGCAATGTTCCTTTGGTGGTCACCTTTGAAAATTGTTCAAAAAATTTAATTCCATGCAGAACTCTGGTTTCCATGGCAACCAAAAGAAAAAACTTTAAATATCTTCTTCTAAGAAACCCAAAGAGCTAGAGCTTAGATATTTGGCATGAAACATCTTCTAGTGGGTGTCTATCAAGTTTGTTCAAATAAAAGCCCTGGGGTCAAAATTGGCCCCGCCCCAGGTGGTCATTGATTTTTCCTATATGCATATAGTAAAAACTTAAAAATCTTCTTTTAAAGAACCCAAAGTGCTTGAGCTAAGATATTTAGCATGAAACATGTTCTAATGGATGTCTACCAAGTTTGTTCAAATAAGAGCCCTAGGGTCAAAATTGGCCCAGCCCCGGGGGACAATGATTTTCCTAAAATGTGTATAGCAAAAACTTAAAAATCTTCTTCGAAAAAAAAACCGAATAGCTAGAGTTTAGATATTAAGCATGAAACATCTTCTAGTAAGTGTCTACAAAGATTGTTCAAATAAAAGCCCTGGGGTCAAAACTGGCCCTGCCCCAGGGGTGTCATTGTTTTTAAATATATATGTAAAGAAAAAACTTAAAAAATCTTCTTTTAAAAAACCCAACAAGCTAGACCTTAGATGTTTAGCATGAAACATCTTCTAATGGGTGTCTACCAAGTTTGTTCGAATAAAAGCCCTGGGGTTTAAACTGGCCCCACTCTGGGGGGCCTATATACAGGAGAGCGACTTCAGGGCCATCATGGCCCTCTTGTTTATAAAAAAGATCAGCTTTGAAATGTTATTAATTCGAAATAACTTTTTAAAAGACATTCGAATGTTTATTCTATTGTTTGTTATACAACCCAATTGTTTACAAGTTGTATACATACTCGTATATTAGATTTTATCTGTTTATACTTTTAAACTAATGTATTTTTACTTTATAACTTATACGGTATATAACATTAAAAAATATTATGCAGGTATTAACAATTGTATCTTAAATACTCAAATTTCCGACAGGAATATATTCATAGCAATTTTTAGAATGTTCTTTTCATAAAAATCAGCATTTAATAGTTATTAAATAAAATACTATTTTACATCTAAACATTTATTGAATTTATGTGTTTACTTTTTAGCCTTAATTGTTTGTTGTTATTTAAACGAAACGGAAAAAGGTATGAAGTTCTTTTTTATATTAATTAGCTAAAACTAAAAATTATTCCTATTCAATCACTTAATAGGTTGTTTTGTTTTGTTGTTTTTTTGTTGTTTTTTGTGGATTGTCAGAAATGTTTCGACATAAAATTATCATACAATAATAAATGAATAAATAAATGATAAGAAAACAAACAGACTTAAAATAGTTTTATCTGTTAATTATATTTTAGGACACACTCGTCAAAGCAATCCGGGAGGGTACATTGGACGAAGTAAACGAGGCTTTGTTTGGACTGAGGGCAGATCCAAATATACCAGGCGACGTAAGAACTTTAAGTTTAAACAAGTTAATTTTCGTGAGTGTCTTGTTTTCGTGAATGTCTAATTTTCGTGAAGCTCACGCTTTTGTTATGTGAAAGAATCATCGTTATGGTAGATATAATTTGATGATGGTGATATGCTTATGATTTTAGCAGATATTTACATGTAGTAAATTTAGATGCTGTAAGAATGTACGTTTACCTAACTCATGCGTTACCTCAATATAAAAAAATCTTCCATATTACACGAGCAGACATTTCATACAAATGAAATGCACTTTTAATTCTTAAAATTGTAAATTAACTATCGCGGAATTAAATGACTTAACATTAGATAAGTTTTAATGCACAAGTTCCTAATCTTTTATTGTTTATTTTTACAACATACTTAATCAGAGTAACACTGGAGTGAGGCAAAATCTGCACGTTACACACAAAACAGCATCATGAATAATACTAGTATATTATACGGATAGGATCCCTTTTTATATTTCATTACTTTGTTCTTTCTCATAATTGAACTGAATGAAATCATCTCGAAACAACTGAATGCCTCGGCACAATAAAAAAAACTCATAAATTTTATTAATACAAAAAGTAATCGCCTCTGTCTGTCTATGTTCATTTTTTTCGGATTTTTCCATGAAATTTATAGGACGGGCTATATCCCATTCACCACGTTCTTATCCGTGGTGAAATGGAAGACGAGGAAGAACGACTCGGAATGTTGAGAAGTCTTATAGAAGCCGGGGCTGACATTAATCAGAAAACAGTAAACGTATGTATATTTGATTTTTAAGTGACAGTATGTTTACCTTTTTCACTGTCAATCTGAGATAAATTAGTTGATTATTTCTAACTTATTTAATGGCGATTGAAAAAAAATGGTACCAACAAATGTTTTGGATATTATATAAAAACTGCCTAAAATATACTGAACACCCACCATTTTCTCTTGGATGGACAAAATATCACTTTGAAATACTGAACATTTTTATAACGTCGACTTTCATTGGACAACCATAAAGTTCATATGGTATGTTATTTATGATAACATTTTATCTTGCTCTAGAAAACCTTGTTAATAATCCATATGTCTTATTAGATCAGACATGTGCTACCATTTTGTAATGTCGAGCATTAAAAACTATATTGAATTCAGTTTTTTAACGATATTCTAAATTTTAATTTATAAAAAAGAAAAACAAAAACGATAGATTATCATTAAGAAGAGTTTTCTAGGTCATAGCATTTAGAATATGTGTATATATATGGTAAAGAAATTAATATAGTTTAGAACCGTAAAATAAGGAGAGCTTGTTTTTAGTTATACAATGCCAAGTCATAATTTTTACACAACCACTGTTGTTATAGAACATTAATATTCGGGTCTTCATACAGTTTAGCACAATACAAATTGTAATCTCTGAACTATTTTGTTTATGATTAAATTTTTCAGCCGTTTTCTATGGGATAGGCACAGTAGTTTGAATTTTAACTTTGTTCAAATATGACATACTTGCCAAGATCTTTTACTTGCCAAAGTTATGATTAAGAACAAACTCAGATGAAATTTCATTTCTTTTTCTATTTATGAACATTAAGTGAGTAGTCATTAAAATATGTGATAGTTTTTAAGTTGTAATGTGAAAATGTATAGTATTTTAATAGTCTCTAGCAAATCAAATATTTGATTGGTTTCATATATGTATGCCATTTGTTTTATCCTGTATTCTTCTATATTGATTGATATATACATGTATGTTATTGAGACTTAAATAAATAAATAAATAAATACGATTGTTATTAGCTTATAAATTTGTCATAAAGAACAATTATATAAAGTGCTTTCATATAATTATTATTCCTGAATGTTATTATACGAACCTATTTGGTCTATTTATTCAGAGCGAGAGCACAGCTTTGCATGTAACAGCAACAAAAAACCAACACGAAGAGGCCCAGGTCCTGCTAGATACACATAAATGTGATTATAATGCTAAAAATAAGGTTAGTAATTGCATAATTACATAATGATACGGTAGAATATGTTATTGTATGTTCTTAATGTGTAACCTTCTTTAAATAAAGATATTAGTATTATTATTATAGAACTACGAACTCACGAATGAATTTTCACATGGATGTGGCTTGTATTAAAAAATAATGATTTTACTTTTCAATCTCTACAATTTGACTCAGTAAAAATCGTGAATCTAGGGAGTAGTAAATAAACTATTCGGAATACCTCACCGTGTACACACAATCACGTCCTTACCCGAAGTTTGACGGAAAGGCCCGAAAACTTTTTGGTTCCAACTTGGTTAAGTTAAAAATATATTCAAATCATGTAGGAATCATGGCTTTAATTCAATGTCTGATTATGTTGTTCATTCCGACTAAAACTCGCTTTACTGACTTCAAACAACTTTCATGAATTTCAGCCACTATATTTACATTTCATGTATTTCAGCCACTATATTTACATTTCATGTATTTCAGCCACTATATTTATATTTCATGTATTTCAGCCACCATATTGACATTTCATGTATTTCAGCCACCATATTCACAAATGTCATGTATTTCAGCCACCATATTTACATTTCATATATTTCAGCCACAATATTTACAATTCATGTATTTCAGCCATTATATTTACATTAGCCACCATATATACATTTCATGTACTAGTATTTCAGCCACAATATTTACATTTCATGTATTTCAGCCATCACATTTACATTTTGTGTATTTCAGCCACCATATTTATATTTTGTGTATTTCAGCCACCATATTTATAGTTTGTGTATTTCAGCCACCACATTTATATTTTGTGTATTTCAGCCACCATATTTATATTTTGTGTATTTCAGCCACCACATTTATATTTTGTGTATTTCAGCCACCACATTTATATTTTGTGTATTTCAGCCACCACATTTATATTTTGTGTATTTCAGCCACCACATTTATATTTTGTGTATTTCAGCCACCACATTTATATTTTGTGTATTTCAGCCACCATATTTATATTTTGTGTATTTCAGCCACCATATTTATATTTTGTGTATTTCAGCCACCACATTTATATTTTGTGTATTTCAGCCACCACATTTATATTTTGTGTATTTCAGCCACCACATTTATATTTTGTGTATTTCAGCCACCATATTTATATTTTGTGTATTTCAGCCACCATATTTATATTTTGTGTATTTCAGCCACCACATTTATATTTTGTGTATTTCAGCATGACAAGACAGCGTACGATGTAGCGGAGGAAGAGGAGTGTCAGGAAGTAATGGACGTCATAGAAAACCACAGACGTAATGTCCGCCAAAGAATGCAGAAGGCGGCCAAAGCATCAACTTGTACAATACTTTAATAACTGCATTTCAATAAACGATGTTCATAAGAAAAATACGGCATTTATCGACAGTCTAGTGGATAGTAGTTTTACACGTTCACCTTCAATGTGACCAGAATACAAATCGTTGTTGTCAACTTGACATTATTTTGCAAAGAACTATTTTGACACTTGAAATTCGAAATTGGCCTAATTAAAATGAATTTTGATGAGTGATATTCTTTAAACAAGTCAAAGGTCAAATATTTCTATACAAGAGGTAAAGTTTGCTTAAGTAAGTCATATTTTTTGATGTGCTTAAATAAGTCATATTATTTAATATGCGGAAATAAGTCATATTATTTAATATGCTTAAATAAGTCATATTATTTGATATGCGGAAGTAAGTCATATTATTTGATATGCGGAAGTAATTAAGTCATATTATTAAATATGCTTCAGTAAGCCATGTTAAGGATTATACTTAAATTATTCAAAATATTGGATATGCTTTAGTAAGTCATAATATTGGATATGCTTTAGTAAGTCATAATATTAGCTATGCTTTAGTAAGTCATAATATTGAATCTATGCTAAAGGAAGTTATATCATTGAATATGCTTAGTAAAACAAGACGTTGTTTGAAACTTGTTTTTTAGCAAATTATGTAAGAAATGGCTGGTCCGTTACTGAATTTATTTTATTTTTCTCTGCTTACTAATAATATACATGCACTACTATTTGTATCATAAATGAAAGAGGTGAGATGGAAGGATGGGAGACAGAGCGACAGTACAAGTGTCGGTTACGTTATGCTGACCCATAGGATCAAACGGTGCCGTGTCATTTTATTGAATGTTTACATATGTGAAACACTTTCAAACGATATTAAACCATAAATTTTACAATTAAAAAGAAAAACTTTTTGTTGTTAAGTGCCCTTCCTGTTTGGTGTCGGATGGTTGTATTTATCGAATTGAACCGTTTTCCTGCTATTTTCATTAATATAGACATGTATATACATCTTTATAACGTAATAAATTGGTTAACAAATCAGTGTGTGTTCGAACCCCTATCCTCACATGTGAAATAACTACACATCATTTTAACCACTGTCGTTATTCCTCCAATTCCCCAAACGACGACAAGCTCATTTTTCCCTGGGTGTTACCCCATTTTTCTTTAGTTTAAAAATTTCCCCGTTTTATGAAACATGTTTTATTTAAACCCTTACCAAATTAATTAAATTAAAATTAGGGAATGATATTTGATGTTTTTAAAAATCCCGGATTTTCTTTTTCCGTATTTTACTGAAAAGATTATTTTTAACTGCAGTGAAACATCTTTCCTGATTTTTTACTGTTGTTTTGCCGGAACTATTTTTCTTCTAAATTCAGCCAATAGAAAATTTAAAGGCCCATTATGCGCTCAAAAATGCCTACCATTTTTATTCCCAACAACTGCGTTTATTTTTGGTTTCTTTGTTTGCTATATACATGAACTAATTTTTTTTCATATATTTAGTTTCTGTTGGCAATTGGAATAATTATAGTGAATTAGTTTTTTTGTATAGGAGTCAAAATACTACTTTGTTTACATTTTTGTTACCGGTTAGACACATAATTTTTGAATATGTTATATCCCGGGTCACATTTTCACGTAATGCGACCACGGAAGAGCCACGGATAATGCATCTTCCGTAAGCTAACTACATTGTAGCTCTCAGCTCCGTATTGTAACCCGATATTTATATCCTAGGGAGTCCTCGTATATTCCGTAGGATTCTTGATCACCTGAAAAAATTTAATGCTAACGGAAAAATCCAAACGTAACTAGCGTTCCGCTTTCAGACGTTTGCGGCTTATAATGAGGGAACAAGGACAGTTTATTAAGGGGAGACAAAATCTCAAAATTATTAAAATTTTATAATAAGCGCGGTCCTTTAAATAGTTTCGGATAACACCAACACGAATATGTTGGGTGGGTTTGTATTGCTGTCATTGCCAATATGTAACTAATTCAATAGCCCTGAATTACCACATATAGCGTATTTATTTTCTGGAAGACATTTTATTGTATCTTTTTAATCAACCTTCGTTTACAGTATGCGTTTTTTCGGTTACCCAGTGGATTTGGAGGGCTATTATTTGGGGGAAGAGAGGTAGGTTTGATTTTTATTCCGGTCCAAATACTACAAGTAGTTTAGTTTCTAAAAGATGTTTTTGTGCTTTCCTTACAAAGGAACAGAATCCGGTATCTAGTCATATATTTCTTCAGACCCTTCACCGCAGATTTTATCTCTATATTGTCTCATAAATGTGCAGATTTGACGGTTTAAAAAAATTAATCGAGAGACCAACGTATTTTCTCCCATTCCGACATTTTTGAAGCATGCCTAGATAAAGTAAATCTACAAAAACTATAGTCCTTTAATTGTGTTTAGAAACGTTTATAAAAGTAAATGACCAGTTGAACCTATTTTCCTGTTGGTAAAATGCGTTTGAAAAAAAATAAACAGTGTTTACTCGAGTATAGAGGTCGAGGTTAATTCTGCAGGATTACAGCATAGACCTAGCGACTTTGATCCAATTTTGTTACAGTTTATACCCAGATTTCGGTTACAGTTTAGATACTTAATTGATTTTAAACAAAGTTCGTGTATCCATTACTTTTATGAAGTAACTCATACCTTTCTATTTAATACATTATTGAAAGGTTGCATTACTTTTTTTCTTCCGCAGAAAAGTTATAGTTTGCTATTTTCCTTACTTTAAGTTTCAGACTGACACTTTTTGCAGAATAAGTAATGTCCTAAGTAAAGACTGTTTTCACGACGACAACAGTAACTTGTATCAAATTGTAATGAGAGAAGAAAGGTTATTGCTTTATTTCATTACACATTATAATAATGCCTGTTAGTAATAAAATAGAGAAAAAAGAATCCTTAAAAGAAGTCCAACACGGAAACCATGAAAATGTTGCAGGCTCAGTTTTATTAAACCTGTTCATGGACGGTAGTGGTAACTGCAAGCTACCGTCCACACCTCCTAACACCGGCTTCAGCAGAATTCACATTAAAACATGAACTGGTACACTTTAGATTTTTTTAAACATCTGTGGATGTGTTCATATGGAGATAATGAAGCCCTGCATACAACAGATAAGCCTGTCAAAAGACACAATTAACAAGCAGGCAATACCCTAAAGGGGTGATTAACAGTATTTAAAATGAGCAATACTGGGTTTTCATCTACAATAATGTTATTTTGTAAGTATTTAAAAAGGGTTTGTTACGTTTTGGCTTCCTGGATTTTTAAGTTTCAACGAAACACTGAGGTAATGTGAAAACATTCCTGCTTTAGTGTAAAGAAAGACCCCAGATACCCTTTGTGAAAACATTTCAGACACGAGCGGGGCACCTGACTAGAACCACCGACCTTGCCGTAAATTGCTTGATAGATTCCTCACATACAGAGAATCCAGTCATGATGGGATTTCAACTACAGCAGTAAATGAAAGATGATTTGAAGTCGACGGCCTTATCCCTACCCTGCCTCCATCAGGCTCACTAGAAAAGATATTGTAATTGTCTGACCTTAATACTCTATAACTTTCAATATTATTTTCTTTTTCAGAAACATGTTTAAACTTCTATACAGGATGTCTGAAATAAAAAAAAACGACTTTTAATTTAATGATGACAAAATAATCGTAACTTCAACAATCAAAGCACAGAAGGCGCTGAATTTGTTTGGGTCTCAGAATGTAAGAAAGGTGCAGGTTGTGAGATTATATGTTTAGTGCCACAATGCTTTCCAGCGTTTTAATTGTAGTAAATTGGCTATTAGACTAATTGCAACACTGATATTCAATCCAATGTTTATTTGACTTTAACAATTTAAAAAAATGAGTAACCTTTACTGGGATTTGAACTCCAGACCTCTCGCTTCCTAAGCGAGCCCGAAAACCCTTCAGCCACGGTGAATTTATATGTGAACGGCCTGAAGAAAACCATATTATTCTAAATTAGGGCTTGTAACGACTTTAACTGTTGTTTTAACACAGATGTAAATAATCCTGGAGCTTACTATAAGCATGTATATTTATAAAGAATCAAACGGCTGCAAGTTCTGTGGTATTTTCTGATCTTTGCAATCGTACTGTATATCTGTATGCATTTTCCTGTATAAGTTTATTTTTATGTATTATAATTCCTTTTGTAAGGCACCAGAGTTTGATACATCCGTAATTCTGCATAACTAGAGTTATATCAAAAAAATCATTTATGTCCTTTTTTTTACGACAGCCACACTTTATCTTTGTATATTATGGCTACTTCCTTAACAAAAACACTTAAAAAAATGAATTTAACAAAAAAAAAGTTTTCTCGACTGGGATACGAACTCGAGACCTCTCACTCACGAGGCGAGCGCGTTACCACGAGGCGAGCGCGTTACCCTTGTACCACGGAAAAGTTATACACAGTGTCTGAATAATATCAAATCATTCTAAATTTGGAACTTCCATTGCAGTTCGGGTTTGTAATCCTTATTAATTTCGAGGTATTTTGTTTAGGCTAAACCTGTTGTTTATAATTGAAGTAGATATTTTAGCAAAAATCCTCTCGCCCAAACGGTCCGGCATGTAGAATCTATATATTCCACTACTCGGTTTGTGTAGTATTCGGTAATCAACATGGCTAAAAATAGTATTTTCATTGATAAAATCATATTCATCCGCGTAATTTGTGATTGTGCATTTATTGACAATTCTATAAGCCAACGCTATTGTTTAACTTTAAATGCGTTGTAATTTGTTGGATACTTGTAACAAAATAAAATATTTCTTTCTTTTAAATCGCTAGTTTTTAGCTGTTTTGAGAACTACTTGTTGTTAGGTTTGTAGTAAACTTCTGTGTCAGAGATTGAATGTCCGCTTTGTATTTAGTTATTTTCGATCAGAAAATACAATAAAAACAATATTAGAAATCTTTGACCATTCGGGAATTACTTTGCTTGAAAATTGATGCGCCTGTCTTTGACCCATCTTTACGCAGTGATCTCCCCTGAATTTTTCGGCTTTAGTGTACATACAAAAGGGAAGTAACCGCTCCAAAAAATTGGACTACTTTCGGCATTTGCAATTAGCAACATTAGACTCTGAAATTTCGCTACCATTATTTGTTTGGTCTGACGACCCAAACAAATAAAAACGCCATGATCATGATTTGATTTGAATGCTTTTGGTTCGAGATGAGTAGGGTCTTTAAACATTGCCTTTTTTCAAAATCTATATTTTGGGTTTTCGTATCCCCGATTGCAACCGAAACCATTTGAACAACTAATTGGTAGAAAGTCATGTAAATTTCATCACATTTAGTTAAGTAGTTACTTAGCGGATGAGATTGCACACACATGTGTACGACAGACGGACGATTAGCCATCGGACCAATAAGCTCACAGAGATTTAAAAGTCTTTGTAGCATTCATACATTTTACCTAGTATATATAGGAAATATCGAAGTCTAAACTGTAACCGAAATCTGGGTATAAACTGTAACAAAATCGGATAAAAAATCGCTAGGTCTATGCTGTATCCCTGCTCAAATCACCTCACTCTATACTGTAACATTGTTTATTTTTTCAAACGCATTTAACGAACAGGAAAATAGTTTCAACTGGTCATTACTTTTTATAAACGATTCCTAACATAAAGGACTAACGTTTTGCAGATTTACTTTTTCTAGGCATGCATAAATAATGTCGAAATTGGATAAAAATGCGTTGGTCTCTCGATTCAAATTTTCAAACTGTCAAATCTGCATATTTATGAGACAATATAAAGATAAATCTGCGGTGCAGGGTCTGAAGAAATATATGACTAGATATCGGATTCTGTTCCTTACAAGCAAAGCACAAAAACATCTTTTAGAAACTAAACTACTTGTAGTATGGACCGGAATAAAAATCACCTACCTGTCCTCCCAACAAATAATCCCCCATCTTTAAAATTCTATACTGTAACTGGAAAACGCGATACTGTAACAGGTTCCCTAC